GCACTTGGAAAGTCTACTGTTGCAACAATATGGAAAAACAGAGAAAACATTTTATCAGCGTATGACAAAACAAATGTTAGATGTAAGAAGTTAAATTATCTGCACATGAAAAGATTGACAAGCGACTTATTAAGTGGTTTACTCAAAAAATACAAGAAAAAGTTCCCATAAGTGGCAGTGTTTTGCAAGAAAATGCTAGTGAAATGGGGAGTAAAATAAAAAACAAAGAGTTTGCTTGTTCTAAAAGTTGGAAAAAGCGTTTCAAGAAGAGACATAATATCAGTAGCGGAAAAATTGTTGGAGAGTCTGCCCGTGAAAAATTGTTCTTATGAAAACGTTAGAGGCGATCGATAAAAATGAAACATTTTCTATAAGTCTCTTAGATGCAGTCAATTTTATTCATATAGCTTGGCAAAAAGTTAGCCGAAAAACCATTGCAAATTGCTTTAAGCATGGGGGATTTGTAAGAAAAGAAAATGATTATGAACCGGACGATGAAATTCCACTTAACGAATGGTTAGAAAAGTACAAAGACTCTGACTACGAGTATGACACAGACGAAGATGTCCCAATGGTGTCGAAGAACAAGTTAAAACCAAATTGAGTGATTTCAATTTCTTCGAATATGTGAGCATTGATAATGGCATTCTTACAAGAGAAATGTTGACCGATGAGCAAATTATAGACTCCGTAACCTCAACTACAGCTTTAAGCGATAATGAGAAAGATGACGATTTAGGTGGAACGTATTCTACTGTAGACACTAATGCTGTTCCAACCATTTCTGAAATGACAAAAAAAGTGTCAGAAACTCGGAATTTTCTACAATCACGCCAAGTTCCTAATCATATCTGGGAGTCCTTTTGTGATATTGAAAACTACATAAATAACATCCATTTTTGCAGCAAAAATTACAAACTTTATGAAGTAGATTTCAAATTGAATTTTGTTTATCTTTTTGTGTTCTTTTTAGTCATACCTACTAACATCTACTACTCTATGTAAAAATAACGAAATAAAAT